GAAGGTCAGTTTGCCTATTTTCCTCTGAAAATCATACGTTATATCGAAGTTTACGCTGTAAAGGTGTACGTTCTAAGCGATACCGGCAAATGGTATAATGCATTACGCGAATTCGGGACATTGAAATTTGAACGTTGTATTGGTGTAAACGTTATAAACGGGGTACGTTGTACCGAGGTTCGACTGTACCAGGAAATTTGTAATCAAAATTCGGTTGCTTCATCTAAGAAGCTAAAAGTAGGATGAGGTTGGATCATGCAACAGGAAAATCATACTTCAAATGTAGACAAAAATGGCTCAGTGACTCCAGAAACTGGCTTTTGCCTGACCTAAACCTCACCTTTCATTTTCTTTTTTCTTGTGATCTTTTGTTTCCTGGAATCTCATTTCCATCATCCCCTTTACTTCAGTTGACGGCTGGGTTTCTCACGAAATTCAGTGTGAGCATAAGCTAATTGAACCAGAAACATTTTTTCATAGGCTTTTTTTTTTTTTTTTACTCAATTTTAACAAGGGTGCCAATAATTCGGGGGGGGGGGGGGCGTCGGCGTCATATCTCTTTGGCTTTTTGTGTATTACAAATATTCACAAAGTATTCTGTGCTATGTGTCCATGGACAGAGTGCTGTCAAATGAGTTACACAGAATAACTGGCAGGTTAAGGAAGGCCACTAACTTGGCCTCATATAGAAACAGTTACTCACTCCTTCTCTGACAACCCGACTGGACCCGGCTGTCCTTGGAGGCCCCTGGCTGGTGCTCATCTGTGGTCCACAATCCTCTCTGTGAGCAAAGAATGGAAAGTCAGAAACAAGCCTCTGTCAGCTTCTGAACTCACACACGGCACAGAGGAGAGGACATGTCACAGAACAAATTGATACTAGGTACTTGACAGTAAGTGAGTATGTGTTCTAAGAGCCCTGAATAATACAAAGAAAAATTTAGACACCCCACCGAAAAATCAAGTCTACTGTATATTTTTCAGATTAACGCCATCTCTCTGAGCAGCAGACAGAAAGGTAAACAAGCATCACATCGCTCAGAACTTCTCTAGATGAATGTTTTCAGTTTCACTGAGGTTTGGGAAAAAAGTTTCCACAACACAAATTCTGAGGTCACAGACTGACAAAAAGAACTGACCTAATGAGGAAAGCAATTTGTCACATATACTGTATTTGCACATATTAAAAAATACTTCAAGTACTTCTATATACAGACGCTCCTCTACTTACGAACTTTCAACTTACGAACTTTCAGATATATGAACGAAGAGGACTGTAAGTCCAAACTGTGTTCCTTGTGTTTCCTGTCCACAACATAATTTTTTTTTTCTGTGCGCCAATTCCGCCTAGTACAACTTCTGGCTGCTACTCCCACCGCGCAGCAGCGTAGCGGGCGTACTCCCAGCATCCTAGTTCTTTGTACTTGCGTATACCCTTAAAATGATGTTGAATTACGACTTACGAATATTTCAAGTTACGAACGGCTGTTCGGAACGTAACTCATTCGTAAGTAGAGGAGCGTCTGTACTACAATGTTACAAGTACTTGTTAATATGACGGGTATCCAGCAGGACTGATGCTGGTATGGCAGTGTACTCACTTTGAGTCCTGTACATTTGTATACAGGTATGATGCAGTACTCGTGCATTGCAGAACTGATGCTGGAGTGGCAGAGTACTCACTCTGAGCCCTGTAGATGTGTATACAGGTATGACACAGTACTCATGCATTGAAGAACTGATGCTGGTATGGCAAAGTACTCACTCTGAGCCCTGTAGATGTGTATACAGGTATGATGCAGTACTCATGCATTGAAGGAGTGATACTGGGATGGGACAGTACTCAGTCTGAAGCTTGAATATGTGTATACAGGTATGATGCAGTACTCATCAGTGCAGGACTGATTCTGGAGTAGCAGAGTACTCACTCTGAGCCCTGTAGATGTGTATACAGGTATGATGCAGTACTCATACAGTGCAGGACTGATACTGGGGAGGACTCACTCGTAGGCTTGGGAGCTCTTTTTTCTGCAGAGCCGCTGTCGTAGCAGGTTCCTTCTGAAGAAGATGTAGAGGCAGAGACCCAGCAGGGGCAGGACCACAAAGAAGAAGACCAGCAGACCATCCCGCAGGGAGGTGTCATTCTCTGTGGGGGGAACCGGCATAGGCTAAGGGGAATCAAGGCGCTAACGAACACACAAACAGGGATACACACACCCCGCGGTCATGCTCACGCACTCAAACAGTTTACGGGAAATTAATTTTAAAAAAGACCCAAAACCCAAGCTCACCGTTCCAGGTGGGGCCGCTGTCCACGCTGCCCCCGTAGCCTTTGAATTCACAGGTGGGTGGGGTCCAGCCATTATCACAGTGACAGTTCTTGTTGCTGTTGCAAACCTGAGAAGGTCCGAGACAAAGTCGTGTGAAATGCCAAAACTGACAGCACTGTACAAAAAGAAGCCTGCTAGTTATAATCAGGTTAATTATGAAGGCAGCTTATAGGACGAGCTTTTTCACTAACTTTCTCACATGTGATGTTCGACCAATCCCTCAGCACGAAGCCTTACCCCATTGCCGTGGCATGTATTCTGGATGTCGCAGTCGTATTTCAGCTCATCAACGCTCACACACTGGTAATTTAAACAGACCTAATGGATTGGGGTTGAGGGAGAGAAGAGGAGCACATCAGTGTTTTTGTGAAATACAGTACAGAGGTGTCGCATTGCTGACTATCACGGCTCAGCAAACCTGCCAGCCCAGAGGCAGGAACCGTACGGCGAATGCAGGCCTCTGTCAGCAGACCGGGAACAGGGGCGGACGGACTTCTCTGGGGGCCCTAGGCTGACGTGGGTGGGGTTTTGTATCATAGCACCATTTTCTTCTTCTGTGAGGCTACTTTGTGTTGATTCCCCTAGCAGTCAGACAACCAGTAGCCTACCATTAAACTCCAGTGTGAACAGAAAGCTGGGTAGTGTTAAGTCTCAAAGGAGGAATAGTCCATTACAGCTGGACAGGAGGGCAACTTTTTCTATCCTGAAACTGTTGCTAAAAATGTAAATAAGACTTATTGCTATAATATAAATGATCATTTATCTTATATCCATAAACTTTTGGAAATGCTGTCTTCATGAGGCCCCTAGTTTTCGGGGGCCCCAGGTGATTTCAGGGTTGAGTGATTTCCGATCCATTCCCTTCCCAGAGTACATGGAACAGCTTTCTGACGTAATGACATCTGACTAGACTTATGGTAACCAGCAAAGCGACATTATGAATCACATCTTCATGCCAACGTATTCCTGTCAACTTTGTCTTTTCTTACGGTAACTAATGAATGACTCATTTTTTTCTCCATCGGCACCCCGCCCCCCCTTGGGGTTTATCATGATGTACATCTGTTAGAACCAACCAGCACAGAGTTAGAAAGAGCAAAGAAAGGTCTGATGATGTAACCTTGGAAGCCTTAGTCTGATTCTGGGAAGAGGGATATTTCATAGGCAAAGCTACGGTCAGCATTGACTGCTGGGGTCATATTAAGTTCTGCTCTGGCTCATGCTGGACATACTGAGGATTTTCGGAGTACCTTGTTCTCCCCGCAGCGGGTGCCCTCGTTAACCATGCCCGGGTCTGGCACGTCCGAGCCCAGCAGGAAATCCACCCCCCAGCACTTGGTGCCGGCGATGGGCGTCTGGATGACGGAGGGCTCGATGCCAAACACAGTGACCGACTGCACGTTTTCGCACTGCAGCTTCCCGCACATGGCGTTCCTGGAGCAGAGACGGCAGTAGAAGCACTGCAGCCCACTCACAGCAGACATGTGCAGGTAATTCCTGCCCAGCCGCCGCAGCACTAACAGCCTCAGCTGGTGCTGGCGTTTCTACATTCACAGACATTATTCTTCAGTCACCTTCCAGTCCATCAGCTGCCTTCAGGAAATATGCCAGCTTTTCAGGTCCAAGACTATTACATGACTTTGGTGACTTTGGTTATAAGCGCTGTTGTAAGCACATATCACCACAAGGGGTTGCTGTTTAAACATAGAGCAAGCTCTACCAGAACAGTCTTCAACTGTGGACGTGAAACACAGCACACACACACACACACACACACACACCTGATTTCACACTTCTTGTAACCCATGCCCTGGTAGCCACAGTTCCCAAACCGATCCCCCTTCAGGTTGACGTCTCTGAAACAGACCTCAGGTGCCGCTTTCGCTTCTGTGTGGACAAGATCATCCTGTTAGTTAGATTCACACCAACCGTGACTGAGCACCATGATGCCTCAGATAAAAACATCAGCGAAATAAAATGCAGCGTCTGTCTAAATAGATATTACATACAGTATAATCCCGTTATAGTGGACTCGCTTATAATGGAATATTGTCTATAATGGACGAGGTTCGCTGGTCCCGGCCGCGCACCTTGAAGAACATGCAGAAAAAGCATCGGATATAGCGGACTCTCATATAACGGAATTTCGCTTATAATGAACAAACAATTTGGTCCCCAGGCCGCTTTTAGCTGTAGTTTTGTTCGGCTATAACGGACATGCAGCTCCGCCTACAAGGCGTGTGGCGTGCCGGTGATATCGCACTCGGGATTATTGATAGTCACGTTCTAAAAATAGGCATGATGTAACAGCAGGCAACACTGATTGGTCTGTGTGGCTGTCCATCACCAGGCACGATGTATGTCGGCAGATGACGCTCGCAGCTGGAGGGATGCAGTAAGCACTTATAGGCCATATATACTTCCAACAGTCAGGTAAAGTTGGATTACTACACGTACAATATAATAATCTATACCACAAGTGTGTCTGCTGGGGTGTGGCATGAGTAAATGGTGTCCTGTAGTTGTGTTCTGGGCAACTCTGGATATAACGGACTGTTTTGCCAGGTCCCTTGAAGTCCGTTATAACGGGATTGTACTGTATTTGCTTCAATAAGCAGTTGAACAGGTGTACCTAATAAAGTGGCCAGTGAGTGTATATTCCTTTGATGGAAACCTTACTGGTACCCAAACACTGATCATTGTGTTTGTGGATGAATTATCTTTGAGATCAATTAGCAAAGTGCAGATTAATCATTCTGAGAGCTGTGGTCTGTCGCTGGCCAGCATGAGGGTAATGGACTTACTGGGTCCAAAGATGGCCTGGCACTGCCCGTCGTAGTGCCGGCACCGACCATTATAGCAGTAGGCCCCGCCCTCCCGACAGAGGTGCCCGTTCTGCTTGAATACGTCTGCCTGGCATAATGGTGAAGAGCCGTTACAGAACTCGGGTAGGTCGCATTCGTCCCGAATGGAGCGGCATTCAGAGCCAGCGGGCGTGAACTGGGAGGAGAGAGAAGGAGGTGTATGAACGTGGATGAGGGTATGGCCTGCTGCACTGATACGGTCTGTGTACACCCAGCAGAACGGTCACAGGAGATCGGATCGGCTGAATGCAAGGAAACACAAAGCAGGTGCCCACCTTGCAGTTCTTGCAGCACACGCCGTCTGCGCACTGAGCCCCGGACTTCAGTTTACAGGTCTTGGCCTCACAGCAGGGGTCCTTCTCACAGTCCTGCCGTGGCAATGATAGATGAGAGGGACAAGGATAATTGTTAAAATGAAAGTGATTATCGGTCATTGTTGACACACCACAGCACACAATAAAGGAATGAATCCGCTGCATTTAACCCATATGCAACATTCAGATCAGCAACCTTTCAATCACAAACACACTTCCCTAACCATAAGGCCACCACTGGCCCAGTATAAATTGATACAAATCCCTACAGTTCAACTTATCAACAAGCCCCCCCACCCCCCCGACTCCCGCTGACATAGTCTCTGCCTCACATGCATCTTTGTCGATCTAATTTCATCTGCTGGGCATCATATATTTTCAGACTTTTATATTCTAGCATTCAAACACCTCTGTTCCCCTTTATGCCTTATATTGCACAGCTTGCACTATTTTATTCTCTTAATCTACAATTTATACTTATCTATTTTTCTTAATTTATGTTCCTGTCTATGTTATTTGTGAATGTAAGCGCCAAAACTGGCAAAACAAATACCTAGTACATGCAGCTGTACCGGGCTAATGAAGTCAATTCTAATTCTGAAATATGATCAGAACATCTGATCACAGACTGAGTTACTCAGATACTGGTTGGATTAAGCTGACAAGTTTATGTCCTACCCAGACAATGAGCTAAACAGAGGACAAGGTGCTTTCTCTGTTTTGAATTACGCTGCATTTTTAGAGTTGCCTTTCACACTGCAGGAACTTTTTCGGGAATCAGAACCTTTATCCAGAACCTGTAAGTTTTGTCGTGCTCACACCGCAGGAACCCGGCCCGATTGTAGTTCCTCGGGGGCAGTTCGGAACCATTTTTTAGTCCTTACTCCAGACTTGTTACTTTTTGTCTAACACAACCTACTGGGGAGGGGCTTACAGAGATACGTTGCTGATGGTGTGACCACAAGCACTGACACGAACTTGGAAATTACACAGAAGTGCAGGGAAAAGAGATAAAGAGGGGCGGAGCAAAAGTCGAGCAGATGGAATTACTGTTGTACTTCAAAATACCTTTTTGTTTGTTTTCTGCATCAGAAAATTTTGTGAATAACCAGTGTACTTTTCTTTAATATTTTTTTCATTCTGTAGAAAATGAAAGATCAATCTGCTGGCCAGATTTAATAATAAATAAAATATAAATAAAAGGCTTCATCCCATTTTGATTGCGATTGATCCTCCCAATAACTAACAGAATGACTTGTTCATCCCTCCATTGTTTTAGGAGTGGTGGTGTCGTTTCATATAAAATGTACAGTAAGTTTAACCTATGAACTTTTTGCGTCTCCCATGCTTATTTTTAGCATAATAGTCACTGTAGCTGTTGTGCAGTGTGAAAGCGACATATAAAAGTGGGCAGGAGCAACAAAAGTATAATAAGTTATAATAATAAGTAGTTTTTAGCACAAATGATCATTTGAGGCCACCTTACCTTTTCAGAGCCACAGTCACACTCCTCCCCAACATCAAGCAACTTATTCCCACAGTAGGGGGCACTGTAGGCCTCGTCAGGCCTTGGCACGTTCAGCAGGCAGCTACCACCACTGGTCAGAATCAGCTTTTCAAAGTCATCGGAACTGCAGCTGCTGAAGTTTCGTGAGCCACTGTTGGGGAGGGGGGAGGCCTTATTAAGGATTGAATTGACTGAGATGAAATCCTGTTACCTCAAAAAAATGTCCCAAAACACAAATGGCTTTAAGACTAGAAGTATACAACTTTCAAGTGTCTCTGCATAAAATATGACATAATTATGTGACGTTATCAAGGATCAGGGTGTGAGGAGGTGCTGGGGGAATGGAGAGATCACCAAGGTCGGTAAGGTCTTGGTCACCATGCCGACGGAGGCTCACGTGGTACCGGAGCTCATGATGCAGCTGGATGTGTCGCACAGGCAGTTCCGCCCGTCGTCGTGATTCATGCCCAGGTTGTGGCCCAGCTCATGGGCCACAATGGATGCCAGTGACAGGACATCGGAACCAAAGTACTGGTTGGGGTCAGAGACGAGAAAGCCAGTGAACACCACAGGGAGAACGAGCAGAAGAAAGGCCCTCCCAATGAGGGTGAGGCTCTTTTATTGCCAATCCCCCAGGCCAAATGCAGCCCAGGGATAAGGAAAGGGGGGGGGGGGCGCATACCGCATTGATTCCCCCTCCGTGGCTGCGTGAGCAGACTGTGCTGACAAAGGCCATGCCTGCTGTCCCACCAAAGTTTTTCTTCCTGGAAGAGACACAGCAATGAGAGGGCTTGGGGCTCACATGGGACTCACGAGATTCACATAGGATTCACACGGTATTCATGCAGGACTCACACAGGGCTCTTATGAGATTCACACAGGACTCACACAGGGCTCTTATGAGATTCACACAGGACTCACATGGGGCTCTTATGAGATTCACACAGGACTCACATGGGGCTCTTATGAGATTCACACAGGACTCACATGGGGCTCTTATGAGATTCACACAGGATTCACACGGGGCTCTCACGAGATTCACACAGGATTCACACAAAACTTACATGACATTCACAAAGGTTTACAAAGGACTCACATTGGGATCACATGGAACTCACATGAGGTTTACACAGGATTCACACGGAATTCACATAGGACTCACACAGGACTCGCACGGGGCTCTCCCGAGATTCACACAGGACTTACATGACAATCACACAGGGTTCACAAAGGACTCACATTGGGCTCACACAAGATATACACAAGATTCACAAGGAATTCACATACAGGCATGGTAGCCTTCCACAAAAAACAATCTCTGAAATAACTTGAAACTGACAAAAGTTTAATGGGATTGTTTATTTCACATTTAACACAAATCCAACTTTGCTTTTGATTATTGATTCAGCTGAATATTTTATATAATTAAACAAACAAAAATGACACGAATAAAAAACATGGTACCATTAATTTAATATTTAGTGGCACCACCTTTTGCAGCAATCACTGACAACAAACGGTCTCTGTACTTCACAATGAGACGTCTGCATTTGCCAACAGGTAGTTTGGCCCACTCCTCCTGAGCAAACTGCTCAAGCTGTCTCAGATTTGAAGGGTGGCGTTTCCACTGCAATTGTCAGATCTTTCCATAGATGGTAAATAGGATTAAGATCTGGGCTCATAAAGGGCCATTTAAGAATTGTCCAATGTTTTTTTTTTTCTCAGCCATTCCTGAGTGCTTTTAGCTGTATGTTTTGGGTCATTATCCTGTTGGAGAACCCATGACCTGTGACTGAGGCTGAGCTTTCTGACACTGGGCAGTATGTTTCGCTCCAGGATGCCTTGGTAGTCTTGAGACTTCATTGTGCCCTGCACAGATTCAAGGTTCTCCATGCCAGATGCAGCAAAGCAGCCCCAAAACAAAACTGAGCCCCCTCCATGTCTCACAGTAGGTATGGTTATGTTCTTTTCTTTTAAAGCTTCACTTTTCCTTCTGTAAACATAGAGCTGATGTGACTGGCCAAAAAGCTCCTGTTTTGTCTCATCAGTCCAAAGGACATTATCCCAGAAACATTGGGGTTGTCAACATGCATTTTGGCAAATTCCACTTTGGCTTTTTTATGCTTTTCTGTCAGTAGTGGAGCCTTCTTGGGTCTTCTTCCATGAAGCCCATTATTGTTCAAAATATGACGAATGGTGTGATCAGAAAGTAACATGCCTTGACCTTAGAGCTCAGCTTGAATGGATGTGGATGGTTTCCTTGGCTCTCTTTCTATCATTCACACTCTTTCTGATCAACCTAGGGTTGCATTTCCGCTTGCATCCATGTCCTGGGAGGTTGGCTACAGTCCCCATGAACCTTATATTTTTAAATAATATTGGCAACTGTGGTCACGGGAACATGAAGCTGCTTGGAAATTTGTCCATATCTGTAAGACTCACACAGAACTCACATGGGGCTCTCAGGAGATTCACACAGGACTCATGCATGCCCACACCAGACTGACACGGGATTCACACAGAACTCACATGACATTCACACAGGGTTCACAAAGGACTCACATAGGATTCATATGGGGCTTACACAGGATTCACACAGGACCCACACGACATTCACACAGAGTTCACACAGGACTCACAGTATGAGCTGTGCACTGTCATGTCGACGTCGGGATCCTAGAACCTGTTCCCTCCACTGGACGAAGCGGCCCAGAACCTCTCCGGCACCACCCTCTGTGTTGATTAGGTTCTGTTGGGTCCAGATCTCCAGCCCGACCAGGACGACGCGGATGTTCAGAGCCACATACATCTGCAATCAGGAGAGATCTCAGCATTCAGCTGGAATTTACAGATACTGCAATGCTGTATACCAAAGCCAGATTTCTGTCAAGCTGCCTTCCCCACCACAGGAGCAGAACTTACACTGTCCACATAGCTGGCGAGCTGGACCATTTCATCCCGCACAGCCGTCTGGTTCCTGGTCATGTACGTAAACTGGGGGGGGGTTGTTATGGTTAGGGGTGTTTTATTCACACTTTTTAAACAGTTCAAAGCAGATTCCCGCAATATTTGCATGTTATTTACAGGAGAATGTCAGAAACAATGTCTGTATACTAGTGCACCAGTGACAATGCAATAAGGTTAGTGTGACATTGTGGCCATCGTGCCTTAAAAGCTTATTGTCCCCCAGTGCTTATCAACAACACAATTTGAACAGTCAATGAGATTCTATTCACCCTCTCGTTGTCAACCACGACAAACAGCTCCACAAAATGAGTCTGGTGGAGCACTGCTCTCTTACTCTGTAAAGAGAAAACACACAGTCAAGCAAACAATGTCCCTCACACACACACACACACACACACACACACACTCACTGACCCTGCGCGCTTGGCTGATGGGCTGGGTCTGCGTTGCGTTGGAGTGGCCATGATCAGGGTGTGGCGTTCCACACATCAGTGGTACATCTTGAAGTCTGTACACCAAGTGCTGGAAGCTGCTGGAGTTGGTCAGGGGTTCCATCCCATAGCTGCTGTTGTCCACATGCAGAACACCTCTGGGGATGTGAGGAAAATATATATATTACCTTTTATATTAACTAAGGGTTTTGGAAGAGAGTTGAAGAAGAAGCAGGAGAGACACTAGCAGACTCTTTTCTGGGGTGGATTAATTTTAATTTGTGGTGGGTGGGGGTGGAGAATCTGGCTTTGAGCCCAACATGAAGACATGATCCAGTGGCACTGACCACCCTTGCAGAAAATCCTTCTGCCAGGGTGGTTCTTACTGACCTCCTTAAAGTGCCCTAACCTTCCCTGGAAGGTTGTCCTGGCCTCCTCACCTTAGGCCAGAGCAGATACTAAGGGCCACAGCAGAGCCAGGAGTGTCCTCCACATAGCCCTGGTAGTGACAGTGGTGCTGGAAGGGAAAGATGGACAATGAGGTCAAACATCTCGCTGAGGAATACTAAGCCAGGCATGGTATTCTCACACCAATGGAGCATCTGGCCATACGTCAATGATGAGGCTAATTAGTAAGGTTAATAAAACACAGTATTAATCAACATCTACATATAAAATACTCAGTGCCTCATCTGCCAGAAAGGGTTCCTGTTACTTCATGGTCTGCCACTTAAGTGAAGCACTTCCTGAGCAGCTCCCAGTGAGCCACACCATGGTAATGATGGGCAAATGAAGCTTCATGAACCATTTGCTGTATTTTTTGACTCCACTAGATGGTGCTCTTGCCTTGCTTTGGGGCATGCTTTGAGCCCTTTTTTGAACAGACAGCACCATCTAGTGGAGTCAAATGGTTCATACGGTATCATTTTGCCCATCACTACACTAAGGCCGATGCCACTGTTTTACGTTAACGCTCACATATACAGTTGCTGCCTTTCATGCAGACATTGTATCACATGTGTAGCTTGTAGTTTACAGGCCCCACACAATGCAGTATTGATCCCCACTCAGCAGGGCTTTTAAAGCGTAACTCTCACTATATTTATTTATTTCCCAGAATCGCCTGCCACTCCCAGCTTCTGAAACATCTCCACTAGCAACCATAACCCCAGCAGATGACAGCCCACATAGTGCCTTTATCATTCATAAAAACAGACAGGTGAAAGAGCTGTTACATTTACATTAAATAGGTACTGTAGCTGCAGAAGGAACATGTGACAAGAACAAACTATTATAACAATTAAAAAGGTTAATGCTTTACATGAACTACGCCATCACAGTATATTCATAATGCATTCACAGAACATTCATATGCAGCATGTAAGTATACCTGTAATTATATGATTATAATGTTTGTTATTATCATATAATGTTTATTAATGTATATTAATGCTGTTAAAGTACGTTAGGATATTAAGGTATACTTACATGGTGCTTATGAATGTTCTGTGAATGCATTATGTATGCATTATGAAGGTGCATTGAATGTTCTATGAATGCATTACATTAAAAAGGCATTATGCAGGTGCAATTAATGTAAAGTGTAATGTAAAGTGCGTGTCATTGTGTCACCCCCAGCTGGAAGACCCAAGCCACACAGGTTAACAGACAGCTAACTATAAGGCTGTGAGCGTGGTCCACTGGGGAAGGAAAGAGGATGCAGCTTCCAGCACAGGCCAAAGCGCAGGCCCCAGTGTAAACAAGCAGTGCGAGATCAGCTGCAGGGTGTCAGGCAAACTGTGCAGTGCCAGCATTTCAGGGGGTCTTTGATAAACTGCATTAACAGTCAGTGTTTATTGGTATTACGAAATCACAATTAACACATTATGATGAAATAATGAATAGGTGATGAATGATGTGCACATCAAAATCAGTGCGGTTAGTCAGGTCACGTTCATACACAGTGATATGGCGTTGCCCAAATCCCGCTAAACCCAGCAGTGCTGACACAATAATAGCGGAAAATAAATATTTCAGCTAGATCAACATCACTTATGTGGAAAGAGAAGCCTACTCTGTGCCTCAAGGCTTGCTTTGTCTTCATGTGTAGCGGGAGTGAGTCTAAGGATGGTTTATTGCCACAAAACCAGGTACAAGAAGGTACAAGCCCTGCCCTTCCATCTCAGTCTATGCCAGTTTACATTTCTACACTTTTCTGTTTTCCCCAATGTACCTGATCCCATTGTCTTGCTGTTTCCCTTCCACATCCTCTAAAGTCACCATCAAACCACTGACTCCCAATTAGCTAATCGCTTCTCATCGCGTGACCTTTACCTGCCCCCTGCGTGTTCTTGCCGTTAATCTGCATTGTGATGTGATTCATTATCTTACCGTTCCATTGTTTTACTTTTTACCCATCCAGATAGCTAAGGGCTGCTCTGGATATTTCTATAGAAAGCATTACAATATGCCGGGAAGGTTCTACCTATTCATAAAAGCACAGTAACAATAAAATGCGATTGGTCGAAAAGCACAGAAAAGCCCTTATCAGCGGTATCCAGGGAAGATCTGTTACATAAATCTGTTAAAAGTAAAGAAAACCTGTATCAGCGGGATTCACACATTGTAATCTTCAGTGTTTAATGGCTCCCATAGTTTAGTGTGTCTCGTGAGGCACCCATTTGTAACTGGGAGCATTCATGTCTGAATGGAAGCTCTTGACCGTTTCCGGAACATTCTGTCTATGAATGACACACCTGTTAGTACTCAGGAAACACACAGGAGCCAGTCTTATAAGGGGGACCTGAACATCTAATTATTGTCCAAGTGTCCAAAAATATAACTTCCCTGCAAATATGATCTGCTCCCATTGGCTCCTGGGCTCAACCATGTTGCCTCACAATGATGAAGCACATTCCCAAATACGACAAAGACTGCTTTTTCCCTGTTCACCGATACCTCAGCAAAAATTGCTCGAGACCGTTTCCTTAGGAACAAAGACCCAGTTCAGGCTGGTTTTGGGCCATGGAGGCTCACGTTTCCAGGGAAACAGAGCAGGATAAAGTTCCATAGTGCTGCACCGCTTAGATGGACTGAAATGTTAGTAGCACCTGGGAATGCTGGCTGCAGCTGTCCTAGAACCACAGCTTACAACTGCTCTGAATCACATCTGCCATGAATCACCTGCTATCCCCACTTAACACTCTATGTGGTCCTAACCAGTTTTTACTGAAATAAGTCATCAATCACATTAACATAATACTTACTGCTATTACATATTTTATAAAAACTCTGTCTCACAGAGCACAACCAGCAGCAAGCTGCAAACAACAGACTATTAGCTACAGGTAGATACACATTAAAGGTGTTAAAGGTACAAAGGCCAAATCTTCACCCGCATTGGAGGCCTTTCTGTCACCACGGTGCCGTCTTTGGTGTATGTATACACAGTGAAGTCCTCAGGAACAAGGAATCTGCAAGAAGACACGTGATTGGTGACCACAAAAAAATATCACTTGCGTATTTCCAGGGAACCTGGACACTTTTAGAGAGCTTCCCTACCACAGAAGTGAGCACAATCAGCCTTGCTGAACAAACTGGTATCAGGAAGGAGTAAAAATTAGTGAGGCAGCAATAAGGAAATTTCTGCCCGATACCAATAGCCGATTCTTTCAAATGCTGACAACGATACCGATTGTTTGGGAGGTTCTGCTTAAATATGCTTAAATGGACACCCCATCTAAATAAATTAAAAAATAAATTAATTACATTCCAAAAATATAAAAAAATATTTATTTCATGGTAAGAAAACACCAACTCTGGCATACAAACAGTCTCAGAACACTATTTTATGACTGTATACATCTTATATAACATATATAAAAGAGGTCTGATCAACTGTAATAAACTCCATACTGCAATTTTCCAAGTAATATATTTTGATTTCACACTGTCTGCACTGAATTGTCTTTTGCTATCAATTGCTTAACCTACAGACGGACTAACATTACTCAGCAGTGCTGCAGCCGTGTTTTTTGGAACGGATTTGCGTTCAGAAACTCTTCGTACTCTTCCCTGTCTCGCCTTAAGGTGAGCAATCTAATTTGTTGTGTTGAACTGTTTATGAGTAAAGCAGTGTAGGAGAACATGGGAGTACAGGCCGGGAGGGTAAGTCCTCCGTAAAGCCCTTTGCCTTCATATGCTGCAGGGTCATAAAGCCTTAAAAGTTACAGTACACAGTCATAATCTGTATGCTTTATTTTTCCCAAGATAGCTTTTGCAAGCAGTATGTGCAGACCGCTTTATCTAATGTGCTTTCTGTTGTTGCTTAGGGAAAATTAAAACTTTTTTTTTTTTTAATCTTTTTTTTTTATTATTATTTTACTGTACATCCACAAAATGACTTCAGCAAAATGGACTGAACCACTGCTGCCAGCTGTTTTTTCCATCACCCCACCCACACCAAAAAAAGAAACTTACTCATTTCTCTCCAGGACCACAACGCGGTCCTTCCCCTGGATGCTGATGATGTATGACACCTATAAGAGAGAAGCTGACCTGAACACAGGGAAGATGCAGGCAACACAATCGTGGCTGTCACCATAGCAACATCTCCAAGAGGCACCCTGCCTTAACCCGGGGTAAGTGATAGATACAACAAGCCCAAAGGGTCACGCGACCCTTTTAAGACAACTTTTAGAAACGCCTCATAAATAAATATGCTATAATTTCATGCCAGTGAAATTGAACTAGCTGACCGGATTTGGAGAGAAGCTAAATGACCTTCACCAGAATACCCCTGGAAATTTGGGGATTCTATTTTCTCCTCATTGCAGCTATTACACTGTCCCCCCCCCAGCTGTTTTATGTGGCTGTAAACAAGATCTAAAACCTTTAGATATCAGCTGCCATCATTCTGTCCTCCGTCTAGATGGAAGCATAAAGTGCATAAAGTGCCCCCCCCCCAACCAATAAAACACCACTCATTGCAGAAGACTGCAGCAGTAGAGGAGATGTAAGTGTGTGTGTGTGTGTGTGTGTGAGTTAATACTATTTAAGGTCTGCAAAGAAATGGTCTAATCTGTCTAAGCAGACCATCTGTCTGGAGTTTGGCAGCCAATCTCAGGCTAAGATTCCTCTGATATTGACTAATGCTTTTTTTCCCCTCTGAGGAAATTCTCCATAAAGGCCCCCGCCCCCATTTGTACATTTTGGCCCCAAAACCCTTATCAGGCACATCAAGGACGTCTATCCTTCAACATGAACTGCTGGGGGCAGGGGTAGGGGTTTACAAACCTGCTTTGAGGCTGCCTCGTCCGTATCTCGCCTCTGCCTCTCCACCTTCCTGGGGATGGTCACTTCGTACCCAGTCACCTGGGAGGTTGGCTGGCAGCTGGAGGCTAAAAGCAAAAGAGACCAATGTTTGTGTTTAAAGGTGACAGAAACTCGTAAAGTCATAATAATATTGGAAAAGGCGTCTACGGTCTTGTAACTTTTTCCATGCTTTATGGAGATAGAGAAGGGATATAGGATAAGTGTATTTTTGATGGGGGTGTTGTTTAAAACAGCAGAAAATTACAGTCATGGCGGTGCTTGAAATGCAGTGCGAGCCGCTGGTCAGGGACAAAAAAAAGCCCAGATCCGAAGTGGCAGGAAAGTGTAATGCCCGGCACGGCGAAGAAAGTTCGTGCAACAACGAGCAAGGCGCTGCGCTAAGATCAGACCAGCCAACGGCATTGATCCCCATACAGTCTCCGAGGCATCATTCCAGCTGGCGCTCCGGAGAGGAACCATGGCAGCAAAGCCTTGAACTGGATGCAACAGTTCATTATAAATGCACGGCTACATTAGGCTATGAATGAGAAAAAACAACGGGAGACACAGCACGACTACGGCAAGTCCGGTAAAACATGTTCAGACACAGCGGCAGACCTACAGAAGGAGACTTTACGCCTGCAGGGACTTGCAGTACCTCACCACTAAGGAATGTTTTAAAAGCACTTTACGTTTGAATCGGTTCCCGTTACTGAGAGCGGGCGTACAGAAAGCCAGAGAAAGGCGAATGTAATATATTCCTACACACAGTCCTTTATACGGCGAATAAAGGAAAACACAAGGAGCGGGGAAAGGGAGGGCGCTTTGGATGGGAATCGAACTCCGATTCCCGGATCGGCGACTGCATGTATAGTAATGGGCCGACATCCAGTCCGTCTCGCCCATACTTTCCGCAATCCTGAACTGGTAACTGGCAGTGGGAAACGGATGCATGACTAAGCACAGTAAAAAAAAAAAATACACACCAGACAAAAAGACATCGACTGAAACACTTCATCATGCTCGGAACAAAATGGAAACATAAATCACTCAGTAAAGGCCACAACTGTGACAGGAGAACAAGACGACCCGGTAAAAGATCAAAGTTTGTTATGTGAAATAAATATGTTATTTGGCAGAGAAAACACTTTTACTGAGCAAACTGGTACGTCTACGATTCATGATAAATCTGATATAACAGTAGAAGTCTTGAGTGGTCAGGAAACTGGCTTGGGACCAAAGGGATGCATGTTCAAATCTTTGAAGGGTTTCTGCTATTGTACCCAAACGTGATATAGTATTCTAGGCAAAAATTGTACTCAAAAGTGCGCTTGCTAGAAATCCAATGCAAATCAGCGAAATAAAAGCGGAAACAAACGAATGACACGTTTATACATTATAACTGTGAATAATTAGGTTTGTACGTCGTATCCACAGCTGGTTTTCAAGCAGTAATAAAGCTGTCCAGTTCCTAGAGTCCCTCTCCCCGCAGATGGCAGCTGTGACCCGCAGCCCAACCGGCTTCCCTAAACCTGCGTGTTTGAGGGCACCACACAATACATGGATTAAATAAATATACACCACTAGCCTACATCAGGTGGTTTCTTATGTGGACGGCAATTCGCGCCCTAGTCCGATCAAGAAACCAGCGCAAAGTTGCATAAGCTATCCAAAGCGTGCATAAGCTTTTTCACAAAAATCGTCCCCGCTATTAATTCAAGTCAAAGTGATCCTTAGGGAAAACAACGGTATACAGTCTGCGAGAAGTTATTAACAGAGTTCATGAAGAGTGGCGTGTTCTTATGTAGGACATGGACTGACGGAAAGAATGACAAGTTCACCATGTTCTCAGTGCGTATTACGGACCGCAGCGCTTTGCACACTACGATGCAGGAGCGGGGGCTTTGTCCTGGTCGAGCTTATGCACACACAACGAGTCCCACTTCAACACAACCTAAAGAAATAACGTAACAAAGCACTGCGTACTTACTCCCACCCCAGAAGATAAGACCACACAGCAGAGTCCAAATACCAGTGACTCGCACGTAGGCTGGGAGGGACTCAGTCCCCATGACTGTGTGTTGAAGGGCAGACTCTGATTTTCCGTTATGTCGCTCCCCAGTATGATCGCCTTTTCCTCATAACCAGTCACGCATATATATCGTCTTAATAGCGGCGATGCGCAGTTTATAGCTGCCCTGATTTCGTGCTCAGTCGCCTAATCGGATCGCGAACTATTCGTTCAGAGGCTTTAGGGCAGGCAACCCATCGGAGTTCCCATCGGCGGAGCGCACGGCGCATGCGTCAGCAAACAATCCCCCCGGGATGCGTTAACTGTTTGTCTGCCCACCGCGAGCGTTACCACCATTTCTATTTCTAGAACACCACCAACACCGCGTGGG